AGCCTAAAAATAAATGGTTGCACATATCATCTGAATACCCGGAACAGGTTGGAGTAGACTGTTGAGAAATGTAAGACGTTTTGTTACATTTTTGAACGGTCAGAGGCAGTAGCAAAAGATGTAGTGGATTGCTACTGGCATGTATGAATATGATTGATGCTGGTGCACTGAAAGTAACTGCACTAGCTAGCGTATATAAGGAGTGTGCAGTTTAATTATATTCAGGAGGGAATTCATATATTATCTGGTAGTATGATGGATGGGACAAAATTCCCCAATAAACAGAGTAAAGAGCGCGCGCAAGCTGTTGAAACCAAATCAAGGGGCTAGGCTAGTTGGTTAGTCTTAGTCAGGTAGGTAGGGCATCGCATCTTACGGGTTGGAAGAAGGCCGAGGAGGCGGCGGCAGTTTCAGTGGCCGTCAGGTAGGGGACGGGCAGCGCCGGCGACCTGGCCAACATCCTGCATACACAGAGTGCGATACAAATGGTGAACAACCCAAAAAAGAAAAAGAAATACGTATCAAGAAAGTCGTCGGACGCAGTCACAGATGGACTCCTGGGCCGGGATGAATCGGGGTTCGATTGCGATTCGATAGCCACGCGCGGTGGGTGGAGATGCGGGGCGGGAGGCGGAACCGGCCAACCAGGGAGGAAGGGGGAGGGGTAGCAGTACGTACGCACGCATGGGGCCGCCGCCGCTCTTGGCTTTCTCTTCTTCCCTGCGGCTGCGGCTGCCTCTCCTCCCCACACCTCTGCTTCTATTCTCTTGTCTGTGGCGTGGGCGTGGCTGGCTCCTCAGCGGGAACGGGTCTCGGCAGAGGTGGGGAGGCCGGAGAGGAGATGGCCCTTGGGGGCGCCTCCAGGCTCCAGTCCAGCCACTTGCGCGGCCTCGCAAGAGCCACCGCAAACGAAACAGAGCGTTTTGTTTTTGCAGGTGTCTCTCTTTTGACTGACAGCAGCGTAGACGCATCACCCACCACACACCACACACCACACTATAGTAGCCTCGTTGGATATCCTGCAGGTGCTCTTTTCCTTCTCGCGCCGTGCTGAACTGGAAATACACCGTGGACGCGTTTGGTTGTCCGCATCCATCCCAACCTGACCAAAGAATTTAACCTGTTTCATTGGCTAGGTCACATCAAAATACTAACCCGCACGAACCTTAAACCACATTTGGGCCTGGCTCGGTGGGAACGGGTGAATCGGCCATTTTTCCAAAGCCAGGTCCAAGCGATGCAACTAGAGGCATGTGGGCAGCGGCGGTCACACGCGAGGAGGTGGGAACGGGTGAATCGGACATTTTTCCAAAGCCAGGTCTGAGCGATGCAACTCAAGGCATGTGGGCAACGGCAGTCACACGCGAGGAGGCGGTCTCGAGATGTCGTGTTGTTTCCCAAAGCCTCAAGAAACATGTGGTCAGGCCTCCTCATGCCCAACCTGTCATCACGGTGACGCCTGATCCTGACCATCATGTGCTGGTGGTGGACGACAACTAGGCTACAGGCCTCCAAACTGTTAGGGTTATGTTGCATTTGGTCTGCTGATGCTACCGCTTGCAATGTGTTCATAATTATGCAGATCCACTAGTTCATGCCCAGTCAATGTTGCATTTGTGTTGTTCATTGACCTCTATTCGTGTTGTTGATCATTATGCAGATCGAGAACGCTCCTTTGGGAATCACCAAGGGCAAGTATAGGTGGTGTCGGCAGAAGAGAAAGGCAAGGAGGTGGTGGAGCTCCCCAGCGCCCCCAAGCGGTCCGGGAACTTCGGCCATTTCCATGTCAAGGTCGGGCCAACCCACTTCTGCAAGGTCATCCTTGCATCTGGAGTGCAAGTCGATGCCGCTTGACTTCACCAAGCACTTCCCCATCGTCCCTGAAGAATTCAAGCTGAAGACCAACACCGGCTGCAACTAGAGGGTGTGTATAATGGGTGATGAACGGTAGAGTCACCCTTGATAAGGGTTGGACCCCCTTCGCTGCCGCTCATCATATCAAGATCGGGTACTTAGTCACTTTCAAGCTGCTGACTCCGAACAACCTGAGGGTGATTGTGTTCGACAAAGACGGCGTGGAGGTGGTGGCGAAGTGCAAGAAGCACAACGTGGCCTTCACGATGGATGCCTAAAAAGTTTACTCTTGCCTGGTTTGATTAGAGTGAGACTGTTTGTTTAAAGCTCTGTTTATGGTACTTGTGTTGCTAAACTTTGTTTAATTCTTGGCACTATCTTGAACTTGTTGCTACCTATGCCATACTTGCTAAAGTGCTGGTAAACTCACCACTCCGAAAGGAGATTATTAGACCTCGTTGTCTGTATGCAACCAAATAGCGTGTAATAGTATTAGCTCAGCCAATGGAAGCAACGATACAGGGAGATAAACAACGTTTAGGGCATGTACAATAGTGTTATCTTAGGAGTGCCACGTAGGATAAATGATGAGGTGGAAGAGAAAGAACTCGTAAGAAAAGGTTTGTCTTCTCTTATTTAAAAGAAGACAAGAGATGATCTCTTAGTACAATATGTCTCACCACGTTTTTAGGAATAGCTAGTTATTGAAGATAAGACTAAGGCATGACCCATTGTAGACGTCTTTTTTTGTCATCTCTAAATTACATGCAAGACTTAAGATAAAACTATCTTACAACCATTGTACATGCCCTTAGATGTTGAATTTTTGCCAGCATTTGCTCAACGGTGCTCGAAAAAACCACCCCACTAATTCCACAGGAAACAGGAAGGATAGTAGGGTCTGATGTGGTAGTACTCCCTTCGTTCCTAAATGCAAGTGTTTTTAGATATTTCAATATCGGTAATCCATTTCTGAGCCTAGGCTCAGCTGCACCACCCCGACGAATAAAATCAAAACAAATACAAAAAAAATTCAAAAAAAATCTAATTTTTTTGTGTGATAGATATTTTGATGCATGAGGTTCGCTCCAATTTTCAAATCATTTGGACATCCGAGCAGTTCTTGGCAAAAAAGACAAATCTGGGGTGTTCAAATGATCTTAAAATTGAAGCGAACCACACGCACCAAATTATCTATCACACAAAAAAATGATTTTTTTTTGAATTATTCTAGTATTTGTTTTGATTTTTTTACTGACTGGGTGCAAATGAGCCTAGGCACCGAAACGCCGCACTCTTTCAATATGGACTACATACGAATCAAAATGAGTGAATCTATGCTCTAAAATATGTCTATATACAGTAGTCTATATTGAAATCTCTAAAAAGACTTATATTTAAAGACTTATATTTAGGAACGGAGGAAGGAAGTATCAAACAGCATTGGAACGAGAATAAACAACTTCCTGTTGGTTGCCTTTTTCTTTTCTTGGTTGATTGATCGAATCAACTAGCACTGACAATGAGCTAAAGTACAGCGTGTTTGTTCATCATCCACGATCCATCTAGTAGCAAACCCAAATAAAGCCGCTCCACCCTCATCAACACAGCGATACATTTAATTCCCGTACAGTACAGATCAAACCTCAAACTCCCACCGGCGGCGTGGGAGCACGTACAACCGCGGCCGGCCACCAGCTACTGCTACTATGCATCATCAGCGGCCCGCCGAGTCCGGATCAGTGGCCGCCATGGCGGTACAGGAGCAGCGACCGGTACACGGCCGCGAGGTGGAGGAACACGATCACCAGGATGAGGAAGTCGTCAAAGAACCCAAACAGCCCCAGCACGCCTGCACATCCAGCAACACCCATCAAAACACTCGGTTCACTGACTGACTGACGCATCAAACGACACCACTGACTTCCAAAGGGAAATGAACTCGCTTACTTTCTGGGAGGATGTCGACCGGGCTCAGGACGTACACCCCACTCAGGATCACCTACATATTTCGAATCAGCAACCGCGTCAGGTTCGTATTTACGTTCTGATCGGTCTCATGCCTCGCATCCATAGCACCGGTCACCAACGGATGGTACCAAGATGAATGAAGTAACAAACAGCGTGACCTGTTTGGTTTACTTCCACCGTCTCAGTAGTTTTCCAGTGTAATAGTGTTAACATGGTATAAACATAGCTTAATGGCCTACAACATACGTACCATCAGAATCATCCTCGCCCTGAATACAAGTGGGAGGGTCCTCTGGGGATCCATTAGTTCTCTGAACAGCCTTCGTATGAAAAACGGCAGGTCTTGCAGCCTCTGAAAATAACAATAATGAACTAGTGGTTACCCATAACCTATTATTAGTAAATGCTAGAGTTTGTCTTTAGATTACAAAATACAGCCAATTCATTTACAATACTAACGTCTATTATGAAGAGTATAAATCTTGAATACTTGTAACTAAGCAATTTGCAATGTTCAAATCTGGCAACACCATTAGTGATGCTCTAGAACTATTTCCCTTCCCTACAGTCATTAACACGGGAAGTTTTAGCCTACAAGAACATGGGAGACTTAACACATTTCCCCCTTGGCATTGCTGAAGTGCTATCAGGAATTTTGGCCAATCAAATGTCAATTGTACTCCCTCTGTACCGAAATAGTTGTCGCTGGAGTAGCTGAATTCAGCTACTCCAGCGACAACTATTTCGGTACAGAGGGAGTAATATTTATATCAGGAAAACAATTCTCGGTCTTCTTGTGGTGGCTGAAAAATTTAGATCATTTGGCTATATCTCTTGTGTCCACTATCTATCTGAAATAAATGAAGTCAGCTTTCGTGGCAGAACAGAGTATAAACCTGGGTTAGGCTGCGTGGTGCTCCACCAAATATGTGATTGTAGTGCTGAATCTCTCCCAAAACACGCTGAAGTTGGGGATCATCATTCTGATCGTCTGATACATTAGCAGGTACCAGCAGATTTATAAGGCGACGGCAAATGGGACACTTGCAAGGCTGTACAGCAGCTCCATGGTTCCAAACACGGATGATGCACTCTCCTGCAAAACCTTGGAACTTAGAAGAACTAACTAAATCTTCAGTAATAGAACTATAGAAGATAGTACCCAACACAGGAATAAGTAAGTTGGATAAGGTACGGATAGACAATGTGCGAATCAGCAACAAGATATTACTACATATTGTATAGAGAGGAAACTGGAAGAAAAGTAATAATCTGTGCAGCAGACATCTGCACTATAAAACACCATATAGTTTATATCCATCAGCGTATCACACTGGTACTACATACAAAGTAAGCAAACTGTTTATTCCTAGTCCTAGTGAACAATGTTAGCAGCACATTTCCTTAAAATGATAATTATTATCCTTCATCCAAGGTACAAGAAAGCATATGGTAGCCCTGAAGTAAATCATCAAATTTCCAGGTAGATATGATCTGAATCCAACTCAAACGTTTCCATGTGATTTTCTAGCTTCAGCCCTATGAGTGAGCACTGCATGGGCCAAGATGATGCTTATGGGCCAGGTAATGAAGTTGATTTTTGGTATGTTCTATTCTGAACCCCTAAGCTAAGGGTTGTATCGAACCTTGCTTAGTGAACAAACTGTTTATTCGTCCTTGGTGAGCAAAGTTATTGCCACATTTCCTTGAAATAAAAAAGTAGCATTATACATCCAAGGGAACTCAACGTGAACACGCCCAGGTGAGTTGCTCGAGCCCTATGATCAAACATTGGCTGAGCCGAGATGATGCTTATCGACTTGGCATTTCTCTACGGTGGTTGCACTAGGGGATTTTGCTCTTTCATCAGCATCAGTACTGGCAGGAAACAATCTTAAATCCTGATTTTCCAGATAGATAATGAGAAATTTTTTGACATCTAGTAGGTACTCGTTGTGCATCAAACAGGTGGTGCACAAACATTCTAGTTCCCACTACCCTGTCATCCCGTTACACACTACCAGGTACATGAGTTCCAATATTTCACCCCCAAGCAAGCAATTCACACCACCCTAAACCCTCATTTCGGATCGATTTGAGCAAACACATCCTGGGCGAACTCCGGGGGAGCAACGGCCAGTTCTCGATCTGGGCATTCAGCTTCTCAGCTCGCCATTGATCGGAACAATCGAATGAATCTGTGACACTCGTCGGCAATTTTGATCAATCCAAAGCACCCCTTCCCCGCATCCTTAAGGAAGAACCGCTCCCACCTCCAAACAATTTGAGCGGGATCGGGGGAACAGTAGAGATGGATCGGGGGAGGAAAGGAGGGAGGGACGAACCGCAGAACCAGTGGGAGCAGTTGGCCTGGCAGGGGATCCGGAAGCGGTCGTGGCAGACGGAGCAGACGTCGTCCTCCGGCGGCACCGGCGACGCAGACGAGGAGGCGGCGGCGGCGGCGGAGCTCATCCCCTTCCTTCCTTCCTTCCCTGTCGCCCTCGGAGACGCACACGGACGGGAAGGCACACGTCACACGCGTTGTTTGTTTTCGTTTCCCTTTCACGGTCAAGTCGTCGGACGGAAACCGTTTTGCTCTGCTCTGCTTTTACCCGTCGTCGGCTCGACGCGCACGCCACGCGGTGCTACCCCCACACGAAGCAACGACTGCCTTTTTTATCACTTAGGTTAGCATCTGCACCCGAACGTCTCAAAATAGCCTCAAACATCTGGACAGACGAACTGATCACTGGCCAAGTGGCCATTTAAAAAAATGGGCAATTCGAGGAAATGCCACACTTTTCCTGGTACTTTGCTCCTATAGCACACCTTTCATTTTATTAGATTGAATACCACACTTTATATTGGTAACTAGATAAAACACCACAGAATGGATTTTTTCCTTCGTTTCCACGTCCAGACCCACCCTTCATATTCGATTTTATAAGACGGATTTGCCCTCCGAGTCGTTTCCATCGAACCTTTCCTGGTCTTATGAAACGATGAATCCACATGAGATAAATAGATAAAGCAGTGTGCCGCTGCCTCGTCATGCCTCCTCCGGTCCTCCTGAACGCTGCCGCCTCGCCATGCATTCTCCCCGGTGAACCGCCGCCTCGCCGTGCCTCCTCCCCGGCGAGCCGCCCGTTCCTATGCAGGAAGCAGCGCCGTCCGCCGCGCTCCAGCCCCTCCGCCTTGCGAGAGAAGAGAGGCGCCGGCTCTTGAAGTGCCCCTGCAGCACGCCCCCCGTCCAGGTGTAGCTGTACAAGCCTGCTAACTGTTGATGGCTGTACTGGCTGTCTGTTGGTCGTTGTACATGCATGTTGGCTGGAGCTGCTCGTTGCTCAAATTATTAGCTTTTTAGCATATGGCTCAACTAAAAAACTAGTGGCACAGACTAACAACTTTGTACGTGCTGATGGTTTAGATGTAGGAACTGTTACAAGAGGATATGGAAGCTTCTTCATATGGATGTAATCAAACTTCAGATTGAATGGATGTAACACGTTTTGATGTTTACTTTAGTGGATATGGGAGAGGAGTGGCAAGCTGTTGGGCGGTGGGAGAACATACGTGCACGGGAGGAGAAGAAGCAGTATGAATCACAGCGAGGCGGCAGCGCGCCGGGAAGGAGGAACGGCGATGTAGTGTTCTGGGATAGGAGACACGTTGAGGCGGCGGGGCGGTGCTTCGTTCTAGTCAGCTGCGTTCATCGTTTCTCCTTTTTTTGATCTGTTGATCGTGGAAACGGCCTGAGGGTAAATCTGTCCTGCACAATTTTGTTGTGGGTCTGGGTGTGGAAAAGAAGGGGAAAAATCAATTTGTGGTATTTCGTCCAACTATCAATTAAAGATGTGCTATTTACTTCAATAAAAAGAAAGGTGTGGTATAGGAGCAAAGTGCCAGGAAAGCCGTGGCATTTTCTCAAATTGCTCTAAAAAAATTAACCCATCCGGACGTCTTAAACCGGTCTCAGGCGCACAGATTGACTGTTACTTCTCATATCCAGCCTTTCATGACCCTATGGCCCATCATGACCCTACAAAAAAAACCATCTGGATCGAACCCTAGCCTCGTTTCACTCCGCTCCGCTCCCCCTTTCTCCAATCCATCAACTTCCGATATCCCGCGACCATGTCCAGCACCGCAACCATTCTGACGGCTTCTGCGACGATGATTGGAACGCATTCCTCTGCGATGCTGCCTGCAACGAGGACGAGCTGGCCCTTTGCATCGCACCGCAACACTCGTGGGTGGACACGGACGGCAATGCGAGTATGGTACATTGATGGATGGATGAAGTAGTACAACTGAATGTATAGGCCTCTCTTCACAAGGCAATATTTGTGTAACAACAAGAATCGGGTAAGAGCTAATTCAGGTCTTACAAACAAATGCAACACTCCTCTAACTTAGCCCATGTCCACCACACAGAGCACATCTAATTAATGACTCTCATTTGCTCAGTACTACTTCTTTGTGAGTGAAGGACGATTTAAATACTGAAGTTGTAAAGCACGTCCGAAAACGAACCCTCACCTCTGAATCCCTGAAGTTTGTACCCTCTCCTCTTTGACCCCGGTTGTTATTT